GGGGCGGGGACTTTGGGGAAGGGGTGGAGTTGGGGCAGGGGCGGGGCCAGGGCCCCGTGGAGTCTCCTCTTTTTGGACACTCAAAATATGGTAACCCTAGACAAGCCCCAAACACAGGCTAATAACAGTGCTTGAGACTCACCGATGAAAATCACCCCCGAGGCTCCTGCTTCCTGCAAGTTCCTGGCTTTGGTGGCAAACATGCATTCGCCTCTCTGGGCCAGCGCCATTTTCCCTTGCACCTCCTGCCGGTTGCTGATCGCTGCACAGGCCTGGTAAGGTTCACTCAGCACTAAGCTCCCTTTCACCTGCAGAGAGACACACACAGGGAAGCTCTTCCAGCAAGGCCAGTTTATACCGCACCTGGGGCAGTGAGGGCTGGTCTGTAACTGGGGCTCACAGGCAATACAAATCATCTCTAACAAGGGGCTATTTCCAGTAAGTACTGGGCCTGTTCAAATTTCCTAGGGCTACTGAGGCTCAGGAGTGGTGTGAGATGCACCAGTCAGCTTGCTGTGTAGGAGCCCTACTTCATCCCTTTCAGATCAGACCGAGGATGCATTTACCACTGTAGAGGCAGCAAACAGCTGAAGGAAGGGGTGTACACACCTTGCACTGGCATGGCATAGCCAAGACCCCTAGGCTAGCTTCTATCTCTGTGCATCCCCCCCCCCCCCCCATACCATCCTGCCAGTTCCCAAAACTGTTTGCTTCATGCAATGGGGCCTGGCTTCTCCTTAGCACAGGTTCACAGAGACGAGCCCACGTTGCAGCCTCTGCAGGCTATTAAAATGAACCCAAAGAGCAATTCCAGCCCCCCGGGACGATTCCCAATCTCCAATCACGGCCTGCGGGTTTCACTCCTTGGAGCAGGAATGTTGCTTCGTTTAAAAAATAGATCAAACTTCTGGGCAGAATTTTTATTCTCCTGATTTTTTTTTTTTTAAAAGTGGTCATCCAATCCGGGAGCAGAAACAAGGCCATGGGACTTGGTGACCAATCACATAGCACCAATAGTGGACAGGCAAAGCAAAGCAAACCATTTGGAAAATTATTCAGTGAATCCCCAGAAAGCCAAGCTCAGCTGGCAAGCCGAGGGGGCTTCCATCACTCGGCTCCAGGGCCCAGCAAGGAGAAGCAGGACCGGTTAAGACACTCCTGCGGGCCCGGCTATTAGCAGTGAAAGAGTCACCCACCCCGTGCTCCTGTTTGGTCAGGTCCATTCCAAACTGGGCTGGTCCAGCGGTGAGTACCGTTCTCCCAAAAAAGGGGGGCGAGAGAACTTGGACAGCCAGCGGGGAGATGCCTTGCTGCTCTGCTGCAGGCGGGTCGACCAGCTCGGTGATGAATTTCAGGCTGAAGAGCCCCAGGGGAGAAGCGTCTGGCTGCGGAGGGAGAGAGACAGCACTGTACGGGCTCCGGCAGGCTAGAGTCACAGAATAACCAAGCTAGCAGCGCCGGTCGGCGCTCCGTCCACCCTACAAATGACAGCGTAGAGCCAGGGGAGGTGCTCGGGCAGGACGGTATCGCAGCACAAACAGGGCACTGTGCCACAGGCTCATTCTGACCCCGCTCCGGCTCAGCTCCCCCAGAATGGAGCGAATCCGCCTCACGTATCCCCCAGGGCCGGCAAGAGGTTTCATCGGCGTATCTGTTAGAGCGCCTTGGAGGAAAACAACCCTACATGGCAGTGATGGACAAAGCACTTGGAAGCTTGACTCATGCGACCACCACGAGAGCTGCAAAAACATGACCGCTTGGTGGAGTTTGGGCTTTAGACACTGCAAGGAAACAGGAGGAGGATCCTTTAAAGCAGTTGCTTACAAGACAGACTCAGCTGCTGGAGGTGATTTGGGGCAGGGTCTCATTAACTGCCCCAGCAAGGGAGAGCCTTCAGCGGTTCACATACAGCTAGCAGTTCACAGAGGAAATGGCTCGTCATGGAAGAAGCAAGCAATTACCCAGGCGACTGGAGCTGGGAGGAACCGTGCCAGGAATTCTCACACTGGCCTTCCAACGTGACCAGCAGCAGGCAGAGCACGTCTGCCACGCACGGAGCACTCGGCACTCACCTGGTGTCGGAGGCTGGTCAACTGCACGCTCCTGTCACCCAGAGGGAGCAGGGTCAGTCCCATGCTCTTCAAGATCTCCAAGGGTTCCATCCTGGTATCATGGAAAGGGAACTCAATCCCCCTGAGGGAGACCAGGACCAGCCATCAGAGTCAAGGTGACAGCAACACAACCCGTCCCGGAACAACGCAAGCCCAGGCTCCAGCAGACAAAGATCTAACAAAATCCAACAGCTGGAAGTTGAAGCTAGACAAATTTAAGCTGGAAATAGGGTGCCAATTTTTAAGGGTGAGCGGGATTAGCCAACGGACCACCAAGAGGCATGGTGGATTCTCCATCACTGGCAATTTTTAAAACCAAGATCAGTTTTTTCTACAAGACCTGCTCTAGTGCAAACGCAGCTATTGGACGTGAAGCAGGAATGCAGAATGGGAAGTCCTAGGGCTGGCATTATGCAGGTCAGACTAAATGATCACAGTGGTCCTCCTGGCCCTGGAATTTATGAATCGACAAGAGCCCGTGGGAGTTACGCAGGGGCTGCCACTCACCTGAAGAGCGCCAGGCGCTCTGCTCCTGGTTGCAGCAGCTGCTTGTGGGCATCCCGGATGGTGCGGGTGAAGGCTGGGTTATTGGGGAAGAGAGTCTGTGCGCTGGGGCAAGAACGGGTAAAAATCTCCTCCTCTCCATGGCCCCTGCGAAACATCTACAGTGAAAGAGACAGGGATCAATTTCTTCTCTCCTCTCGTGCAGCCCCCTGGGTTTGGGTGAACAACGGCCCAGCACTGACTTTATCCTCGAACACTCAGCAAGGGACTGACAGAGCCGCTCAGCCACTCCAGTGATCACATCAAGGCCCGTGACTTGTCCCTTCTAGTTCTGAAAATCCATTAAAAACCCAACGTCAGATGAGCTCAGGCAAGTTAGAGGCACGTGGAACTCACTGGTCAGTGAGTGTCATGTCCCCCCGCATCCCACAGTGCCCCATTCACAGAGGATGAGAGTCTCTTGGCAGTTTAGCTCAAGCTGGTCAGATCCTCCTGGCTGTTAGCTGTGGAGGGGCAGCGTGGCCTAGCGTTAAGACACCAGACACGGACTAAGGAAACCTGGGTTCTATTCCCAGCCCTGCCACTTGTTTGCTGGGTAATCTGGGGCAACTCACTTTCCATTCCCATGCCTCAGCTTCCTCCTCTGTTAGAGAAGGAGAATGATACCGACCTGCGTTGTCCAGCACTTTGAGATCTGCTGAGGAAGAGCGTTAGATATGAAGAGCTATTAGCCCTCTGTGGGCTGTCACACACGCATTGGCAGGGGAGGGAAGCTCTGGCTGCACATACACCAGTCCCCCCACCCCGACGTTTCATAGCAACGCCGACCATGTTTTAAAAATAAAACTAGATACAACAGTAAACTGCCTAAGGGATTCAGGAGCCCAACTCCCATTGGAAATTCCTTCTCTCTCAGGCTGGGACCCAACACAGCTGGGTTTAAACCTTGAAAAATTACCAGCCAAGTTGACCTCCTCCTCTGAAAACAGTCATGTGCCCTGGAAGTCATAAGCTGCTGTGAAGCTAAACATGCCCCGGGCACCCTTAAGAAAGCCTACAGCTGACGTACGGTCATGTTCCTGGGGCAGGGGGGCCGGGCGGTGGAGAGTGACAGGGGCAGCAGGTGGGCCTCGGTGGTGAAGATGTAATCGTCAATGTCTAGAGGCAGATCTCGCTTCTCTGTGAAAAGCAAGTAGAGGTACTTAAACATCTCGGCCAGGAAAAAGGAGTCCATCCTGCATGACAAAGAGAGACGAGTGTGAGAGGCTGGGCCTGCTGAGAACGAGGCAGCAAGAATTGAAAGAGCCTGTAAAGATTTATTCACATCCCTAAAAATCTCTGGCCGATCACATCAATCAATCCTCTTTGCTTTGCCCTGTCTTGAGATGGCCGGGAGAAGCAACCTCAGAAGTCTCCCTCTACCTTCAAGACCCACATTGCTGCTGAGGAAATGCTACCTTGTCACTTCATACAGCAACCCCCTCCCCCCCAGGAGATGGTATTCCTACGTCCACTGCAGACAGAGAACACACAAGGGGACTAGATTTCCTCTCGATCCAACATGGCTCAGAATTGACTTCGCTCCAGGAGAGATTCCGACCCGTTTGCTACCCTGGCCCCTCCCTTCTGTTGGCTTCCCTGCGTCAGTCATTAGATTTAGACTGCGCACTCTAAGATAAAGGGCCGCATCTTTACGTCAGCGAAGCACTGCGTAAGCTCACGGCGCTAGAAATGTCGTTTTCATTAAGCTAGGGTGTCCCGTGGAATTGCGTGAAGAGGAGGGTGGAGGTTTTGATCTTCAGATAAGTCTGAGACAGACTCCAGAAGATTAACCTGGTTCGAGCAAATTCAGTTCAGCCCAGCTGCAGGGCAAGGCAGCTCTGTTCCAGCGGTGTACTCGCTGGACATGGCTTTAAACACTTCCTTCGCAGGGCAGCGACGTGGTCACTGGCGAGAGCACGGTGGGATTCACACACACTGCACCATCCCCACACACACCGCGCAAGTCAGTATTAATAACTAAAAGTGTTCCCTGACTAGCCCCCGATTTCCCACCACATCACAGATCAATCAGAACAGCTATGAGACCAATAGGTTGTTCCTGTGTTGGGTGGCATTATTGCTGGTGATGGGGTTTATTGGTAGCATTCTAAGGGCTTGTCTACACTACCACTGACTTGGGTATAACGTACGTCGCTCAGGGGCATGAGTACTGTACACTCCGGAGCGACAGCGCTCAGTGTAGACAGCGCTATGCCGACAGAAGAGCTCTCTCCCATCTGCTTAGAGCGTCTTCACCAGACGCACTCCAGCGGCGCAGCTGTATGGTGCAGCGTTCTAGTGTAGACTAGCCTGAAGGTTATGTCTACACAGCAGCTGGCAGGTGTAATTCCCAGTGCGGGTAGACATACATGTGTAAGCCATGCACCGAAAAACAGCAGTGTGGCTGCAGCAGCGTGGGTGGCAGCTCAGGTTAGCCACCAGCATATGTGCCCAGGGGCTCAGGCAGGATTTGTACCCTGATCTGGCTGCAATGTCTTTCCGCTGTCAAGGAAAACCACCATCATCCCTCTCTACTTCGGGGGGGGGGAAATGAAACTCAAGAGAATTAGGCTCCAGTCCGGCATTGGAACCCGTGCAGACAGCCCCCGTGTCATTGGCACGGAGGTGCAGGGACTCACCCACACAGTGCCAATTAGCTGATCCCAAAGATAGGGCCCATTGAGCCATTCCCCACTGCACGGGGCCCAGGACATCCCATACCAGACACCGGCTCCATGCCCCTAATTCCCCACTGGCCCATCCCACTCCTGGCTAGCCCTACCCCCTGCCCGTACAGTGCTTCCCTCTGCCCAGAGAGGAAGGGGGTTTACCTGTCCTCGTGTCGGCCCGTCCGTACATCCTGCACCGCCGCAAAGCCGCAGGCCACCCGGGCATACTCGTTCAGGCTCTCGACAATGGACTTGCCCACCTGGAGGTAGTAGGGGTCTCGGGTAGCCTTGGAGAGAAAACAATTGCAATTCAGCAGGCCACCAAGTCACGCTCTTCCCGGCGTAGTGACGTCCGAGGGAAACGGTGGCTCGTTCACAGATGGACGTGACAAGTCACTAGCCGCAGGGTCAATCCTGCATTGCCATCCCTCAGGGGAAGGGAACGAAGAGCTCCAAATCTCCACTCCCCGTGATGAACACTCAGCCCGCTAAGTGATCTGACCAACTCTCACGCCCCAGCCGCTTTAGGACAACGGCTTCGAAAGTCAGTTTGGAATAAGAGCAAGTCACTGATCAGCCAGGAGCTGCCACCGCACGCTCTTCTCCCCACCAGCTACATCTCTCTAGGAGCGATGGCACCCTCCGTCCTGACACCACTCTAACTCCTCCAAAGAAGCAGCAAACACATCCACTTTCAGCTCATTGGTGTTTTCAGCCAAGCCACGGGACGGGACTAACCTTGTACAGGAAGTAGGTACTCTCGGCAAACTCCGGCCGCAGAGGATGCTGGGCCCAGTACACGGCAAAGTCGGACGTGAACGCCTTTAATGAAGGGAGAGAGCTCACTAAGATACAAGCTGCCATTTTCACAACAGAGACACTGAGGGCTCGTCAATAGGGAGACTTAGTGCGTGGCAAGCCAGGATGTAAGTCTACAGCACACTAGCTTACCCGGCACTAAATGGCAACGTGGACCTTACTCCCACGCACTAAGAGTTCCCTAATACTCCCGCCTGAAATGGCATGAGACCCTTTAGCGTGCTGGAGCAGGGTCTACACAGACAAGGCACGTTCAGACATTGCCAACTGGGGGCCCTGATGCAAAGCCACTGGAGTCAGCGAGAGTTTTCTATTGACTTCCCCGGGCTTTGGATCCGGCCCTGGCAAGCTAGTGAGGTGCAGAGATGGGAGAAGAGCGTGAAAGGCCGTAAGGGATTTTGCTTTGGCAGCTAAGGGCATTTCAACCTGGAGGGCTGGGGGAGAGTGCTAGGGTCCAACGCAGAAGGAGCAGCAGTTGCAGCATAGTTAGAAGACCATATAACGGATTAAAGGTGCAAACCCTTGAGTCCCTGTCCCCATATCGAAAAGCCCACCGATGTCAATGGGAGTCTATCTATTGACTTCAGTAGGCACTGGATCCAGCCCCTAATCCTGGTCATGGAAGCTAGAAAGAGAACGCAGGGGAAGGTTCTTAAGAGTCTGCAGCGTGGGGCATCAATCCCTAGAATACGTCTGCCCCCAGCGGGGCACCGCCCAACGGTTCATAATCTCACCCCGGCACTCTCTGCCGCGGTGACGGGGTCACTCAGCAGCAGGAAGGACGCTGGGCCTGGTACACAGGGTGAGAACAAGGGAGGCTGAAGCGAGGGAGGGATTTTTCCCCCCGTGCCCAGAGACCGACGGGATCACAGCGCAGTGACAAGGGGAAGCAGCTCGTTCACTCACCTCCGGGAGGAATTTGTGTTGCTTGGTGACCTGGTACAGCATCTCGTGCGTCTCGATGGCGGGCTTCAAATCCCCCCTGAGCACCTGGGGACAGACAAAACAACCCCTTGTTTCCCTGGGGCACAGCAGGGGGATAAAAACGGCCTCGGCGCAATCGCAAGGCACCAGAAACGCTCCCGGCTCATAACAGTGGCAGGAGGAGAAGCGAGATCCTGGCTAGGGGGTGATTTGTATACAGCACCGGCACAGTGAATTTAGTGCTAGTCAAAGATGCCGGCTGGCTGGCTGGCACGGTGTGCACAGGGCAGACACAGCAAGGCAAGGGCTGTGCAAGCTGCCCTCCCATTAGCCCACCAATATGACTCACCCCTTCGGGGACAGACCAGCGCTAGGGGGTGAGAGGATTCCAATCTAGTCCCATTCACTCTTTGGCCTCTCTGCTGCCACCCAGAGGCCAACAAAGGGAGGAAGATAATTAGTGCCAGCTACATGGATGCAGAGAGAGAGTCTCAGAAGCTGGACTGAGCCCCCACCAACTCATTTCACATAAAGGTTATAACTCTCCCACCTCAGCCATAATACACCTGCTGCTGCCTCCCAGCCAAAACCATGGGAAAGGAAGGAGGCCGGGAGGGTATTTTAGCTTCAACCACCAGCAACCTGCCCATAGCCTATGTCCTCCCGGACACATTTCCCTGATTGACCTTGAGGTGTACCCTTGGGCCACCGCCGAGCCAGGCTGACTGGATCAGCCAGGGTCAGAGCGTTTGACAGATGGACATTTCACCGAGCGAGATGGCTTGCAGCGTAGGTCTCCAAGAGCCCCAAACCTGGCCCCAGGACCAGCTTTTGCAGGAACACAAGGGTTAGGAGGGAAGGAAAAGTGGTTAGGGCACAAGCCTGCCATTTGGGAGACCTGGATTCAATTCCCAGCTATGTGCCACTGACTTCTTGGGTAACCCTGGGCAAGTCACCTATCCTCACTGTGCCTCAGTTCCCCATCTGTACAATGGGGATCCTAGCTCTGCTCTGCCCCCTGAGACGTGGGAGGCTAAATACATTAAAGACTGTGAGGCACTCACATGCTATGGTAACAAGGCCAGATATGTACCTGAGCACAGAACGCTGGCTCAGGACGCATCAGCTAAAGGCCGTACAAGTGCCGAAGAGCAGAACCGTCGGTTAATTTCAGGCAGTCCGATTGGGTGAAGGCGCCGACCCTGCTAAAGGACCCGGCCTAGCGCTCTCTTTTTATATTAATCCACCTGCCACAGTCCCGCCCCTTCACTGTGCCAGGCCCATTAAAACCAACAGCTAGTGTTTATTTGGCAGAGCCCCACGGCACCGCCGAGTCCATTCCGCCCAGGGCTGCAACTGTACCTGGAGGCCGGGGAAGAAGGCCAAGAGGGAGTCCATCCAGCTCCGGATGCTGACTGTGGGGTTGTGCATATGGACGTTGAGCAGGAGGGGAGGCTGGCTGATGTATTTCATTATGGCCACGTAATGCTAGAGAGAGACGGACACAAACTCGGTTATCCAACCAGCAGGGCAGAGCGCTCTGTAACCCAGTAAGACAGCAGGGAGCAACAGAGTAGGGAGGGCTTAGAAAGATCTTCCAATTCAATAGGAAGGCTCCTCCGTGGAGAACTTGGGAATCTGGGACTATCTCTGATACACATGCCTAAATATGTCAGTCACGGGACACCGTGGGCATGTCGTCCATGCTCCCACAACTCAAACGGCCGAGCAGGGTTGGCTCCCGCTCCGGCTGAAGAAACATTCACCTGGTGGCCAACAGCCAAGCATGTATCATTTCTGCCACCAAGTCCTTATGAGCATTTGCTGGCATCACCTACGCTAACTGCGGAGAGGCTCCGAATGCCGCACGAGCCTCCCCATCACCCCTCTCATAAGGGACGCCAAGCTCTGCATCCTGGCAATGAAACGGGGGCTCCAAAAATGGCCCTTGCTGGAAAGAAAGTGGTGGCATGTTTGTGGCAGCAAAGCAATGCACCTCCCCCCAGCACTGGCCGCAAGTTCCTACCCAAGCGCAGATGAGCGAGGAGGTGCCAGGGTGGCCTGCCAGCTCCGGACCACCTGCTGCATCCCTGGCACGCTGCCACTGGCTGCTAAGCAGAAGCTATCAGCAGCCGCTCCTGTGCAAGGAAACGGATGCAGACAGGCTGCGCGGCAGAGGGGCTTTCATTGGTGGGTCAAGCTGGCCTCGCACCTTCAAAATGGATTCACAGATGGAAGAGGGAGTGAGGGAGCAATGGGTGATCAACCCCGTTCCTCCAGAGAGCAACAGAAAGGAGAGCGCTCCCCTATGTACTCACAGCGTTGAACCTGTCCAGGTAGGTGTCATCCCCCAGGAGGATATACGCCTTCATCAGGTACTCGTAGTACGAGTCGATCCCGGCTCCGACCCCGCTATCTAGGGGAAAATGACAGGCAGGGAAGCATGGGAGTTTTACCCAGAACACCCCTGCACAGGCACCCAGAAAAGAAGAATGTTGCAGGCTCCCTTGCCCTGTGTGTCTTGATACCGCCCCTTGGGGGTCTACGCCGCACTGTCACCCTCACGTCTCCTCGCCAGCACTGGCCAAACCATCAGCAAGGCAAATCTCCGGCTACGTCCCGGCAATGAGGAGAGCATTCTTCCCCTTCCCAGGGCGGGGCAGGGCGAACAGCACCCACCTTCGGCACACTGCCAAACACAGCTCTGCCCAGAGCCAGTAGGGGGCACTGGCTCTGGGTCTGCCAGGGGGTTGTTCTGGTTCCCCACCACCCAAAAAAAGGGGTGGAACGCCATTCCGAAGCACTCCGGCACAACTCAAGCCCTGCCACTGCGCCAAAGCACACAGGAGACGGCGTTACCAGCCGGCACATCTCTGCCCCCAGGCAGCCACGCGACACCGGTGTCCCTTCAGACCCCCAGCTCCGAGCCCGGGATTCACTTACCCCTCCGCACCCAGTCCCCATTGTGAATGTTGATGACCGTCCCCACCAGGTCGTTCCCTTTCTGGCGCTTCTCCCAGAGAACATCCAGCGCTCTCCGAGCAGTGTCCTGAGAACGGAGAGAGGAATGAACATACACAACACACAGTCTCCATATCACCCTCCCCTCTACCCAGGAACAGACAGGAGTTGTTCCTACGCCATTCCTTACGCTTATTAACTAGACCCACCCTACAGAGCGAGGGGACAGCATTGGGGACCAGGCTCTACAATAGGGCTCAGGACCTTTGGGCTCTGCCACTAACTGTAGGGTTTGATACCTCGGGCAAGTCGCTGTGCCTCAGTTTCCCCACCTGTAAAATGGGGGTGATAACACTTCCCACGCCCATGGGGATAAATCCAGCCCCGTATTCCACGCGTTCAGGTTCCACTCAAAAGCAGAGACATAAAATAGAATCATCTCCCACTTCATGCCCAGACTCCCTCTCCCCCCCGACCCCCCCGTATGTTCCTACTGCTTAGCCAAAGCAAGGTCCAGTCTGCTGAATCCTGCATGGTGCACTGGGGCTGCCTGCCTGGGCGGATGCTTTACATCTCCTAGCTGCCCGCAGGACCAACCAACGCCAGGCAAGGGACTCCATTTCCAGCCATCCCTCAGATTCCAGCGGGGGGGGGGGGGGGAGGGGGGGGGGGCAGCTGTCCCGATATTATCGGGACCCCCCCAATATTGGGGGCTTTGTCTTATATAGGCTGCCTATTACCCTCCGCCCCCCACTGTCCTCCCCCAGGTCCCAATTTTTCACACTTGCTATCTGGTCACTGAGGTAGGGGTGTTGTGGGATTGTTCACTTGCCCCCCCGCCACTCCCATTTAGCCTGTAGAAGGCAGGCTGGGATCCTGGCAACATGCGGATGGACGGGCAGCACGAGGTCTCCGTTAGGCCGAATGCAGATGGCACGGGGCCTGTGGGTTCCCAGTGGCCGTGTGAAATAGGGCCTGGCGGAGAGCGAGGGGACTCAAGCATGGGGATGGATAAGCAGCAGTGGGAGGGTTTGACAGAGCGTGTCTGGCTCCTGGCATTGAGGGGCTGTGCCCAAATCTCTGTGCAAGTTCAAGTGAACCAGTGCAGACCACGGAGAGGCATTGTGAAATGAAGGGCGCCCCACATTCTGTGCTAGCTAACCCCAGGGACTCCACCAGGTCTGCACAGAGGATCTCCTGAGGCAGGAACCTGTCACGGCTGTTTGCTTTTCCCTCGAGCTTCCCAACCACTTACTTCGAAAACAGTCTCTTGCGTCAGGCGACTGAGGGCAGCAAACTCCAAAATCATGGTGCCAGCGCAGGCCGTGCAGGTGTCCAGCTCGGTGCCTGTCCGGGAGTTCGGACTCAGGACCCCATACCTCAGGTTCACCTGGATAAAGAGACGCTCCCTCAGTTTCACTGGGTGTTTTCCCTCATACTTGTCACATGCGGCAATGAGGTTATTCTACTTTTGTGCAGCACTCTGTCCTGCAGCGCTTTACAAAGCATCTGCCAAAATGCAGCCACCTCTGGGGTGGACGGTAGCAAACAGCTGGCATGCAGCACGTTGCACCACAGCAAGAAATTGGGCCACACGTGCCCTACTGTCAAAAAGATCAGGAAACCTTTATCACCCAGACAGGCCAGGAAGGATTATAAACACCCATCTGGAAGTGCCCCTGTCCCCACCATAAGCCGCATGGAATATTTCTACCTCCTGCAGCAGGACCTAGGAGTCCCTATGGCTGCAAGGAACTTGGGTGCCTCAGACCGGAAGCAATAGGCAGGGCAATGCAGAGCCATCTTGAGAGAGCTTTGAACCCCTTTCAGTCACTCAGATGCGCTGGGATTTTGGGGCTGCCAAGAAGGATCAGCCCCGCCCCCGCCCCCAGCTGGGCGTCTGAGTCAGAGAAATGGCTTGTCAAGGCAGGTAGCACTCAGCGAGGGGCTCTGGGGAAGCACACAACCCGCTGGGACCCACATGTGGCTCCAGACCCCGCAGACCTTATTGGTGCTTTGTTGTGGCTGTCTGTGCCAGTTCACACAAAGCCTCCCCTCGTCCCGGCTCAGATCTGCCACTCCCTTACCCTGGGGTACGGCAGCCCGCTGGTGGTGTTGAACGCGGGCAAGAGACGGTACCCTAAATCCCGGGCCAGGTGCAGGAGCTCGTCCTTGTACCACTGCAGCCGCACGCCTTGTGCCTTCAACATGTCGGCCATGATGTGACCCCCCAGCAGGCCCCTGCAGGACAGAGAGGGGGAGCAGGGTCAGGCTGCTCAGAGGGACCCTGCAAGTTGAGATCCCAGACGGCTCCTTTCAGGAGCTCGGCGCCCACTTTCCTCTGCTGGGATGAGCAGATGCTAAGCCAGCTGGGCCCCTCTGCACCCGCCCCCCCAAGGCCCACTGGTGAGCCAGGGGCCCAGAGCCTGTGGTGATGTCCCCGTTCTCCATCCCCATTGAACCCAGTGTTCATACACAGCAAGCAGCCTTCCCCTCTCCCCCGGAGCCGCTTCTGCGCCCTCAGACTGCACCGAAGAGCCACGCCGCAAAGCATGTGATGGAGCCCACGGGTGGGCAGCGTGTGCCTGGGCACTGAGCTGAAGGGGACAGATGGGGGGGCACAGCTTTGGGAACTGGCACTGGCTCTGTGCTCTAAAGGACTGCGCAGAAGGGGCCCTGCCCCGGCCTGGGGCTCACCCCAGCACACGAATGTTGGTTTCAAAGACAGAGACCACCACGTCGTTGTCCAGCCGCACGTCCAGGACCACCTTCCGCACAGCGTCCTCAAACTCATCCAGCTTGTTAAGGACCTGGGCGGCCAGAGCCACGGGAGAGAAGAGATTCGGGTCAGCGACATGGGGCCTGCCCCACTGCCCTTCACCTCCCCTTTCAAACACCTCTGCCTCTCCTGGCTTTCAGGGCCCTGCTCACAGCCCCCGTCTGGCTACCCAGTTCTCTCCTCTCCAGACCCTGCACTCTGGTTCCCCCTCCCTCCATGGCACCTCATTCCTTTCTCCCACAAGGGTGCCTGGCATATCTGCCCTGAGACTGTCCACTACACACCCTCCTCCGCCAAATCCCCCTCCACACCCACCTTCCCCTCAGCCCCTCGAAAAAACAATCCAACTGTTCCCCCTCAGCTAGAGCAGAACCCTCCTTTGGCTGTATGTTGTCTGGTCTTGTAAGGTGTGTACAGCCCCCACCACACTGCTGGGTACTAAACAAATGACAGTCACAACAGCAATTCACTGACTGGTCACATTCCAGCTCGGCGTCACCTACTCAGACACACCGTTTCAGGGAGAGCTGGATCTTCCCATAACCCAGCAGATCTAGCTATTTTCAGTACTTCCGTACACCGCCCTCCCTCATTCACCTCCCAGACCCCTGAGAGGCAGGGCAATGCTGTTTGGGGAAAAGAGGCACAGAAAGGCTTGTCCAAGCTCACACAGGCAGTCTGTGGAGGAGCAGAGAATTGAACCCACGCCTGCCAAGTCCCAAGTTTGCACCCTAACCACTAGGCCATCCTCACCCTCAGATGTGCTTTCTGGCTCACTATCTCAACGTGGGCACCTCAGGTCAACATTGCAAGTGTTAGCAGGAGCAGGGCCTACACAAGCGTACGAGTGGCCCCCGGGCTGCCAACTCATGATTTCACTGCAGGTCTCCCAATATTTGCCATGTGTTATTTTGTTTTGTTTTTTTAAAAAAGCCTCAGATCCCGGATGCAAGTGATCACATCGGAATCTCAGCTTCATTTAGAGAAGAGTTTCCAGCCCTCATGGAGAACAGCTTCAAACCATGGCCTGAGTGCACACTACAGGTTTAAAACCCAGAAGGCAAAGAATAAGAACCCACATTTTATACTAGAGTGCTTTTAAAAATCTCATGATTTCCTGGGACCTGACTCATGATTTTCAAATGCTCGGGGCGGGCAATACCAGTGAGTGCAGGGGCAGCACAGCCAGAAGGACATTGTGGGCTCTGGAAAAGCATGGCCAAGAAGGGAGGATGATTGCAAGCTCTTTGGGGCAGACACTGTATTTCTGGTCTCTGTTTGTACAGCACCTAGCGCAGTGGGGCCCTGATCCATGTCTGAGGCGACTAGGACCTACCGCAATACAAACCACACACACACACAAATAAGAATAGATTAAGGCAGCTAAATAAACCCAGGATCATAGAATAGACAACAGGATAAGGAAACAAACAGGACATAATGAAGGGAAAAAGAAGTTAAAGACACACAGACAAGCAGAGAAAGGAAAGCATGCCCTGAATTGATCGCTACTGCATCAATCAACATAGAATCTAGGCCCCAGAAGGGGCTCTGGGAGAGAAAATTAACTGAACACGGGAACATGTTTTGAATGAACAGGCATTAATTTTTCTGTTCGTCACTAGGGGGAAGAATGCAAAGAGTAAGATGCATTAACAGAGAAGGAAAAGAAGAGGATACGAGAAACTAACAAATTACAGAGACACGCGGGGGGGAGGGGAAAATCAGGGAATCTAGGCTGTAGCACCTAGAAGTCTCAGCGGAGATCAGGGCCCCATCACGCAAGGCACCAGACATATTAAGAGACAGTCCTTGTCCCAAAGAGCATAACACATGTCCAGGAAGGTCATTTTTCATTTTGATTATATTCTCTTTTGTAAGCAAGAAGCACTCATGCTAAAATGAGAGGTTTCCTGGCTTTAACCGCATTGCTTTCAAACGCAGACAGACTGTCTGCTTTTATCTCCATGCAGTACATAAAGCACAAGCACTAAACCTTGCACACAAAACAACACAACACTACTGTTTATCCCCATTGGGCAGTGGTGGAAGCTAGGGTCAAGTGACTTGTCCAAGGTTAGACAGTCAGTAGCAAAACTGGGAAGAGAACCCAGGAGTTCTAGACAGACCTGCATGAAGGTTTGCTGATCCTGTGGTTCTGGGTTTCATTACAATCCTGAAGTTTGGGGCAGGTTTGGGCCAGAGATCCATAGCCTTTCGGCAAGCATAAGCCAAGATCTGGTCTGAGAAGAAACCCAAGCATAGCTTGGGAGTGGGTTCAGCTGAGTTTCAACTGCAATGGCTGGGTTTGTTTAGCACTCAGATGAGCTATGCCTGGGGTGGAGGGAGGACATGTGGGCTGGGAGTAGAGAGAAAAATCAAAAGTTTGCATGAACTCCCATGGGCCAAATCTGTCTTGTGCACTAACACTTGACAATGCTCCAGCCACTAGACAATACTTCCTCCTGCGTCCTATTGAAAACAAGTCCCCCCAACTCTAACCACCACTGAAGATGCCCCAAGTAACTCCTGATCCTACGTATACTTTAATTGTACTTGTCCATCAAGAATGTGAGAGAAGCCCTACAGCTTTAAGGTAAATTCTTAGCTCACTTGAAAAGAAGCAAAAACAGCAGAGGGGAACGTACAGTCCAATACACAAGAATGAAATGGAAACCCCTCTGTGCCAGGAACTCAATCTTGCTGTTGACAGATACCAACGCCTGTAAATGCAGACACCACTAAAATCCAGCTCAACAGATCTAAACCTGCCAAACCCCCGATAAACTGGTCTGAGAAGCAGATTGCTGACTTACCACAAGTGTATCCAAAGTGTCAATTAGAGTGAGGGAAAACCTACAGGTTTAAATGAAAAGAACATATTTTAAATTCAGATGAAATTCGATCTTAGAAAGTGAATTGGACCAAACGGTTAGCTGAAAACACACGCCAAGGGGCAGAGTTTCTGAGCTTGGCACTTGCATGAATAATGGCACAAATTGTACAAGTGGTTTTTTTGCAATTGCTGTAACTGTGCACACAAATGGACACACAACCAGCATGCCACTGCAGGGGCAAAAGCAATCTTTGCACTTGCAAATTAGATGTATAAATATTCATCTACAGAGAGTCCTGAAAATCTGACCCATGATATTCTAGCTAGAGTAGGTCAACATTTTTACTCAACTTTTATTTTTTCCCTTTGGATTAAATGGTGTGGGGGGTTTTTTTTGTTTGTTTTTTTGGTTTTGTTTCTCCATTCAAAACACAAATTTCTGCAATAAGTATCAATTTTCAACAACTTTTTTCAGGTTTTCACTGAAAAACCAAACGTTTCAGCCAAACCTGAAACATTTTTGATTGCTGAAGATTTGTATTTTTGCTTTTTTGGTTTTTTTTTTTTTTTTTGATGAAAAATATTGTGCAGGAAAAAAAATTTCAGAATTTTTTGCAAGAACAAAAACCGTTTCCTAACCAGCTTTCATTCTATCCCTCCTTGATCATGAGGGAAAAAAATGCACTTTAATTGCTGAGACTGACATTACAAATAGCACCTCCACTTCCCCCTCTTAAGGATCCTTCCAGCAGAAGATCTGAAAGTACTTCTCAAACATTAATGAATTCAGTCTCAAAGCTCCCATGAGGAATAAATATCACCATCATTTTACATGTAGGGAAACTGAGGCAGTGCTGTGACGTGATTAGCTCTTGGTGACACATCACAGTGAGCCCAAGTGTCTGAGCTGGGAATAGAAGCCCAGATTCCCAGTTTGCTGTCCTAGCCACTGGTCTACTTTGTAACACACAACCAGAAAAGCCACAAAACCCCCTCACAGTAGCAAAGGAATCAGAGGACGCTTGTGGTCTACAAGTGCTCCGCAGGCTGAAGTGCGAAAGGAGGAAGAGGAGGAACCCATCTTGCACACTCACTTGCCAAGGGCGTCATCGACATCCCCACGACTCGGCTCCATCCCGCGCACTCGGCCCCGACAACTCAAAGGCATTAGCTCGTCTGCAGGATATGCGTGTTTCTGTACAAGGGAGGGGAAATCCCACAAATGCTCAGTTGACGGTAGATCTAGGACTTGGAAACAGTCTCCAAAGACTGTAAAGTGGGCCGCTTTTGAAGTAAACTAGGCCCCTTGCCATTCCCGTTGCAGAAGAAATGCCTCTCGTCTTAGACTGCTTGTTCCTTGCTCTACAGTTATACACATGCCTTATCAACCTCTAGCCAGGACACAGAAAGCAATGTAAACAGCTGCTTAGATCTGTGCTGCATTCATCCAGCTCTTACACTAGGACGGCTAATACTCTGCCAATCTAAAGCACCTAGCCAAGGCTGTTGAGGGCTTTGCAAACATTCAGTGAAATCCTGGAGCTCCTACTCAGACAAAACTTTCAACATCAGTCGGATTTAGCCTAAGTTCGGAGCGAATGAAAACCAGGGGTGAGGATTTCGGTATTTGGCTCTTTAGTTATGATTAGCCCCATTTTACAGAATGCAGAGTGACACACAGCTCATCAGTGGCAGAGCTAGGAATAGCATGCAGATCACCTAATTCATGCTGACTGCTACACCAGGCAATCTCCATAAGAAAATGTAATATACATCTCCAAGCAATTCTCACAGTCAGGACAGCTACCTTAAATTCTATGTCATTTAGGTGAGGGGACAGTCGGAATTCTGGACAAAATTAGCCTGGCCTCACCAGCCACAGAAGCTCACAGAGCGAGCAAGCGTTACACTTTGTTCTGATGGACAGCCGCCTACTATCTGCTATCCCGACTCTACGTGCAAGGGATAAGATGAGGAAGGTTTCCCTGCTCCATTTGCAAGTCTCCTAGAGTCCGGTGGATTCCAGCCAGCACCTGAATGTTGTCCAACGCCTTTGCATGTAGGAATTTTTTTGGTGGAGCTTTAGACCAGGTCTACACCTAAAACATAGGTCAACCTAGTTATAGATTCATAGATTCTAGGACTGGAAGGGACCTCGAGAGGGCATCAAGTCCAGTCCCCTGCCCTCATGGCAGGACCAAATACTGTCTAGACCATCCCGGATAGACATTTATCTAAACTACTCTTAAATATCTCCAGAGATGGAGATTCCACAACCTCCTTAGGCAATTTATTCCAGTGTTTAACCACGCTGACTGTTAGGAACTTTTTCCTAATGTCCAACCTAAACCTCCCTTGCTGCAGTTTAAGCCCATTGCTTCTTGTTCTATCCTTAGAGACTAAGGCGAACAAGTTTTCTCCCTCCTCCTTATGACACCCTTTTAGATACCTGAAAACTTCTATCATGTCCCCTCTATTCTTCTCTTTTCCAAACTAAACAAACCCAATTCTTTCAGCCTTCCTTCATAGGTCATGTTCTCAAGACCTTTAATCATTCTTGTTGCTCTTCTCTGAACCCTCTCCAATTTCTCCACATCTTTCTTGAAATGCGGTGCCCAGAACTGGACACAATCCTCCAC